GTAAATAAAAATCCAATAAATCATTCAAAGTAATTTAATAACAAATAAAAATAAATCTTAACATTTTCAGGTAGGATAAAATTTTTTGGTTTCGTTTTGTCGAAATTACAAAAATCTAGCAAAAAAAATGGTTTTTCTTTAAAAAAACAATCAACATTCTGTTAATATTCTCGTTTGGTCTATTTATGGCACTATTTTTGTTGGTAATTCTTAAAAATATTGGTTAACATCGACTCGAATTAAAATAATCTATCACGTTTAAGGTTGAAGGTAATTGTATAAAATCACTTTAAGTAAACAAAGTTATTATGCAAATAAGAATATTTATTACAGATTTTCAGACATTAAAGTCTAGAACTGGACTGAAAAAGTAATTCATACAAGTGTTTAAAATTGACCCTAATTTTTTTTAACATAATAAAAAATTGTAATTTTTTTACTATAAAATTAACTTAATTTAAACCTAAGTTTTCTAGAATATCAACAATAATATCTTCGACATTTGTACATAAAAATATACAAAATCACAATTATAATACAAAAGTATTCTGTGATTTGAAACCGAGACATCTGTCTCGCTCTAACGTAGAACTTCATCTCACTCGTACATAGACTAAACTATCGCACAACTTTTTAGTCTCGCTTTGATTCAAAAGCTTATATGGAGGTGCACAACTCGATGTTTAGTTGTGCAACTAAACAGTTGCATGCAAAACAATCGCACAACAGTTGTGCGATAGTTTGGTCAAAGGTCCCTTTTAAACAATTACAATATTCATACAATACTAATATAAAATAACAATATATGTATATTATCTTTAAATCATCATCTTTCTTGATACATTTATCACAAATAATATCAAGACGTTTTGATCGTACTAAAATATCGGAAGAAACTACAATTAAATATTGCTTTAAAAATTGTAAAATTTACACAAAAATCTTAATTACTAAACTGATGAAAAATATTGTATAAAAGTGTATTTAAATAGTGTTACAAAATATACAAAAGTAGATGAAAATTTTTTAGGGCTTGTCCCACAACTGGCTGATAGAGGCTCAGATAGCTGAAAAATCACTGTCAGGTAAGGGAACAAAATTCGTAAGTTTTTTTACAATTTGGTGGAATAGGCCCTAAAACTATTTAATTAAATATCTCTCTATGACACTTCTATAGAAATTTGTTTGATCAAACAATAATATCAAATGATATAAAAATCACATAATAAATTATAAATGCGTTTATCGAGTTTTTAGGCTTACATTTTCCTTTTCAGATTTTATTACATTAGAAAATATTTTATACATAAGGCACCATCTCACATTACAGTATGTTTTCCGTTTGATCGGCCCAATGGGAAAATCCCATTTTGATGATCGGTCCAACGGTAAACAATCAATAAACATACTTACCTTAGGCAAAATATCTGTAATTTTTAAGCCTTACGTTCAGTTTTAACGGAACAGTTGAATTGATTTTAAAACTGTACAGGAAAAAACTAGTTTAACAGATTTTTTTTTATAATATAAAGTGCCAAACGAGCAAGCGGCCACTTGAATTCGACAAAATGGCGAAGCGACTGCTGCCCATAGACGTCCGCCATTGCAGATGTGTTGCCTTCCCTTCATTGAGGGAGGAGACGCACATAACGGGGATATTTCCCTTTCCTATGCATCTCCTCCACCATCAAATCCACTTCCTCTTCCCATCCTCTTATAAGAAAAGGGACAAAATTTAATGTAGTCACAAATACAGATAAAACTGAACGTGTAAAGGTTTTAAGTTACTATAGGGTCAGTCACTTCGATATTTTTAAAAAATCAAATTGCTAGCTAGATTTAAATAAAACTGATCCAATCATATGGCTTAATAAGATTATGCCGTAACACACATAAAAAAAAATAAAAAAAACATACAGACGAATTGAGTACCTCCTTCTTTTGGGGAGTCGGTCAAAAAGAGACAGGTATAGATAGATATCTAGTTTATTCTAGTTTATTTAAAGACAGAGATGGCGCTAGCTGTTTGCCACTTTCCTTATTTATATTTATTTCAGAAAGAGAGAGATGAATAGCTTAGTCATTTCATACATATCTATAAGAAAGAGAGAGATAATTACGGCATTTGTCTCTTCTACTCTTTATATTTTCATTAGAGGGAGAGGAAGACGGCTAGCGTTTTAGTTATTTCCATTCTCATCTATTATAGAAAGAGAGAGATAGAGCATTTGTAATCAATGTATCTATTACAGGAAGAAAGAGATAGCTAGCATTTTCACTGTCATTTTTCATATCAGGGCAAGAGCGAGAAGGACCAATATATATAATTTGTCCTACTCTTCTATTTGAAGATGTTTGTTTTATACGTTATTTTGT